ATGTAATTTTACATGTAGATTCCAAATATGACATCAGTTTGACTGAATTGTGATTTTTTAATGACGAAAATCAAGTTTATTTCTACTCGCATCTGGGATATTGATACTACATTTATAGGAAGATTTCGGTAATCTTTCATCCGGCATTTTCAGAAGGTTTAGCCAATATTTTATACAATGATTCATATATATAATGCTTAAAGGATGCTTACCACATTCACCAAATGCACATATATCATTTACCTTTTCACCTAAACATAAAACATATTTACAGAACCGAACACGCTCTCTTTCAATAATATAATGTTGAAAATTGCCTTTCTAGCTTGAGATGCTAAATTTCTTTTAGCTGGTGACCAACTTAATCTTGAAGAAAATAATAAACCCAGGTATGTATAGTATGGTGTAGTTTCTACTTTAGTATTTCCAAGGTACCACATCTCATCTTTTCTTAGAACACCTCCATTTGTTTTTCGACATACCATTAATTAATATTTTTGTTTTGCCCTAATTAACTTTCATACCCCAAAACTGCTCAAGAATTCTAATTTGACCTAGCAATCTACCAACAGTATCAGAGACATTGGCCATATCATCTGCATAAGGCAGCATTACAACATTATTATGATTTACCATATATTCCATTACAATTTTCTTGCATCATTGATATTAACTGATTTAAATACAAAATGAATAGCTGTGGGCAAATTATACAACCATGTCGTGTGCCAACAGAACATGCAAAATACTCTGTTAATGTGTTAGAAAATGTTAGAAGATTTTGGAACTCTTACACATGACCTTAACGTTTCATACATATATATTATCACCTTGATATTATTACCATGCATATTACAGTTTTTGATCAATTGATACCATAATACATGAGAAATTTTGTATAATAGCTGATAAATGAAAAATTTGATCAACAGTACTATATCAAGTTCTGTACCCTGCTTGTTCTTCATAAAATAAGCCATTATCTAGACAAAATTGTAATATCCTGTCGTTTATCACTTTTGTATACACTCTACTCTACCTAAAATACATATACTAATGAAATACCCCTAAGATTGTTTTCATCATCTTTATAACCACCTTTATACAATGTACAAAGAATTGCATTACACCAACTTTGTGGGTAATCACAATCAAACAATATTTTGTTAAATAATCTAACAAGTCTTGGTGTGACCTTGTTGCTACATTTCTTTTACATTTCATTTACAAGACCATCGTTAGCACAGACCAGGATTTTCAATTTGGTAACAATTTTATGCAGTTATATATTTCATCAAATGTAAATTCATTATTCATAATTTCAGGATCATTTTGAATACAAGCGTTACAGTGATCATCATGATTTGCGAATCTTTGTACTTTGTGTTTTATAAGATTAGTAATAGTATATTCTCTTTTAGCTTTGTGCACCTCAGCTTTGTTAACAATCTAAATAATTTTGTAAATTCACATTATGCTTAAAGTAAATCTGAAAATTGGGGTAGACATATCATCTTATAGGCGTCCTCGGATATTGTAATTTTGTTGCTTTGCAGTAGGTCTGATAACAATAAGTTCCCAACAAAATGGACAAATAAGTTCATTATTGTATTGCTAGATTTCATAGTAATTACAGTGCGTATATGTTGCATACGATTTATAGCAATGCAATTTAAAATAAATAAACCGTTAAAATATATCTCAAACTGTTACAAATATATCTAAAAATATAATTTTTTCTATTCTTCATGGGTCTTTTAGTCATTTTTATTTTACATGTCATACATGTTACCATTGGTGTGTTTTTTCTATGATAATGACTGTTATTTGTGGGGATATTTATTTTAACTCTCGGTAGTGGGTTCATTATGCATGAAAACTCAGGGAAAAATGCATAAGTACTTATGAAATATAAATAGGAGAGTACGTAATAAAAAAAACATATTTCACAAACATTGTTAGGGACCAAAAGGGCACATATGCAGTATCCTGACTTATCCTTTTGAAAAAAAGGCAGCCATCTTGATCACAATAACATCACAATATAAGGATACTTTCTTGAATAAAATGAACAAATGTCCTCATACTTTATTTTGTACCAGAAAATAGCACCGGCAGGTAAAGCAATCTTCAGAAATGTCTCCTTTTAGATTCATACTTGTATTAATGTTTAATAGAAAATGCCACCGTGACTACTAAAATAACGTTTATCAAACTTAATTCAACGTACCCGAGAAACAGTTTATTCCAAATTTGAGGGTCACCCTGTATAATTGTATAAGGTTGAAGATACTCAGTGCGAAATTGACAAAATGCAAGCACCAGTCCTGTTACTTTTGGAACACCCTGTATAAAGGAGTTAAATTGTCATATTGCGTCATAGTCCCTGATCTGGACCCTCTAAAAACAAGTTTTGTTGTCCGGTACTTTCCCACATAAAATGATTGTACCGTTTGAAAGAACAGACTTCCCTCTTCAAGAAAACACCTCTTCTATTGGTAGAAACAGGGGCAAAAGGCACCAAAATGGGGTTAGACAAGGTGGTATTCTGAAATCTCATTTTCTAGTCATCACGATTCCAAGAAAACCACCAGATGGGAAAGTACCGGACAACGAAACCCCTTTTCTAGAGCCCTTTTGGAAATCAGATCAGGGACTATCAATTTAATGGATTAGTCACTGGTGTTGCAATAACAATACTGATTTTTAATTGTCCGAAATGTCTGATTTGTAGGTGCTGTAATAGTAATATCGGAACTGCTGTTATTCTAGTTCACTGTAACATCTGAAAATAGAATGTAATTATGCATTGATAGAGTACAAACTTTGAAGGTGAGCAATACCTCTTGGGTATATCCCGTACATGTACGGTCGTGTGTAATCATGAAGGGCAGACCCAGGAACTCCTCCTTTGGTGAGCCCTATGTTGTTTCTTTTATGTGCACTCATACATTTTTCATACAAGTACACACCACGGCCCTTTTACGAGTTATGGACCACTCAGTCAAACACCCTGGCTAACAAGCAAATCAAGGATGCGCTTTTGTCCACAGTGCAATTCCATTGCATAATACTTAATAAGTTTCCTCTCTAGGTATCATGAAAAAGAATAATAAGCCCCTACGATGCAAATTACATGGTCACACGTTTTCAACAAAAACAGCTCACCCTAGCGCACTTACACCGCTAATAACGATGTGTCAATCTGGTCGGCTAATTGCGTGTGTCAACCGCGTCGGCGAGTTGCTAGTGCACCACAGGAGTTCAATTGAATTGCAATAATTCGTGATGTCTTCAAAAATAATCATGTGACCGTAAGTGCATATAATTTGCACTGCATGACTTGTTCTTTTTAGTGAAACGTGGGGAGAAAATTCATTAAAATATTACGCAATTCACAAGCACCACGGTCATCATGAATACAGCCGTAGGCGGAGATATCGCTGTTATCAATTATGTTCCAAGGTGTTAGTAACATATAACCTTGATTTAACCCTCCATTCAAGAGCAACTGTCAATCCAGGACTTAATATATTTAAGGTGAAAATGAAGAATTTTGACGTCATAAGCTAATTTGAATATTTTTCATAAAGATATAAGAAATAATTTTTGCTTGAATACTATATCAATATTGACGAAATTCGACGAAGAACAAGATCGCTATTATAAGCCTAGAGAGTGGTGTTATCTCAACTAAAAGGCAATATTCCCCACAAAACATTAATTATACCGCGACCAGTTGATTCAAAAAGTTATATTTGTCAGCTTTCTAACATTATACGCTCAGTTTGTATATTGGAATCCAACTTTATACATTATAGTGACAAAGGAATTTTTCAGATAAGCCTTAGTTAAGCTGTTTCCTCATGTTGATCCTCCAATCGAGTTTAAATGATAAAACATATATTCCTACATACGTTTTTACTTGTTGAGGAATTGTCAACATTACCGTTTACTTATTATTGGTTGGTTTAACAGGGATCCACAAACATAAAAATGTATTTATATATTTTTGAAGTTTATAACGGATCATTTACTTAGGAGTCGGTTAGTGAAAGGTTATTAGCATGCTATATTGATTTTATCTGTTTCATTGAAAAATAAGATCGTCTGTTTGACTATATTTTGCATTCATAATGATTAAAAATAATTGTTCCATTTAGTGTAGTTCACTTTCTTTTAATATCATTTTGTTTTTCGTTGATACGCAAATTGTTTTAAGATATTTTTAAATGATAAAACATGTATTCCTACATACGTTTCCAGGGTCTAGCAGGGTTCAATTTTTAAAAATGTTTACCTTTGATATTTTTTAAGTTTACAACTGATGATCTACTAATGAATTGGTTGTTTGAAAGGTAATTAGCATGATAAAGTACATCTATTTTATTTGATAAATTGAAAATGGGACCAACTGTCCGTCTGTATTTTTGTTCATTTTTTGAAAATAAATGACTCAATTATTTCAGCTTCATTGTACATCTATGTTGTTCTTCAGGATTTGACAAGTTAAAGTACTATTTAAGTGATGTGATCCATGTTTTTAATCATCTTTATCACTGGTGTTCTCCAGGGTTGATCGTGTTATATTTTGATTCATGATCTTATTGGCAATAGAATTTGAGTGTATGCGCGTAAAAACTATACAGGCTTGTTGAAATAGGTGATGGTGATGTGTTGGGTGCGACTGCACTCCCTATGGCAGCCCCTCACTAAAACTGAAAAGGGTATTTTTTGTTATTGTTCTAATTCATCTTGTTTTTATATTTTTGTAATGTTTTTTATAATTGATGATTTTGTAAATTAGACCCCTGCTGAATTCTCAAATTAACGAAAAAACTGTTAAGATGTATGATGCTCAACAAATTTAGAAATAGTAAACGATGTAATTAAAACTAATAGAGACTAAAATAAATCGTTAGACGTAAACAATAAATTAAAAAAAATAAACATTGTTTAATGAGGTATACCACCCACTGTGAGTTTGGAGTTAATTTTGGTCTTATTTTTCAGTTGAAAGCATACAAAATTTTCTTGATGCCAATGCATTAAAAATATTTTTACTTATTTATTATCTATTAAAAATACATTTTTAAGTATAAACAATTCTTTTGAAAAATGACCCCTGCGTAAATCCACATCAATGATAAACGGTATTGTTGTGTGATGCTCCACAAGCAAAAATATGTTCAGTGATATTGAATCTACCAATACAATATATTTAAAACAATGGAGCTTCAACAGGAGGAAGCTATTAAAATTTTGTTGTTACTCAAATGCATACAAATGCAACAGTCGAAAATATATCGTACATTGCCCAGCATCATTATTGAAACATTTAAGAAGGCATTTTTTAAATGAATGTTACAGCGTTATAGGATATAAATATGATCTTAAGTTTTACCATCCTGACAGCTCCACACTAAATCAGGCTGTATTGTCTGCATACTACCATCCAATTTCCTCCAAACAGTAGTACTAGAATCGGTTGGGTCCACAGCTGGGTTAAATGTAAAAGCGTAAAAGGTAGATTGAATGGTATCATGCCCGATTACCCATTGCCCATACAATTCTCTATAGTACAGCTTGTAAGACTCATTAAAGTGTTTGTAGCTCGGTCTGTTCCCAACCTTTTGGTCCTTATTCTCATAAAGACCATTAAACGAATCACTCGTCATGCCAGATAGATTGAGCTTACGACAAGACTCGTCACCTGAGAAAATAATAGAAATGAGATAAATCAGATGTTGCACAAAACTGTTTACTAATGGGTATCCTGATTGACTTATTCCTTATTTTCCCACTGTTAATGTATTACATATACCTGTACATCAACAGTTAGCCACATTTCTAGTATTATTGAAATCCGTGTGATATTTTCCAGAAAATAATTTATCAAACTCATATATGGTTGATATCGTTTATTACACACATATTCCTTTGATAAACAAATTTGAATTTCGCGCCACGATACAGTTGGAAAATAGGCCAGATAATTTATTCTGTTGAAGATACATTGATGTATTACATTAATATTGAGTATGTAGTTTGATAAAGATGCTGCTAAATAACAATAATTGTAAAACAGTATTTATGACGAACTATATATCACATACACTGTGATATAGAGAAAGTAGTGCAAAGGAGCACGTAGGTTATCGCAAACAATTTCAAACGATTCTAACTTGAATTATGAATATTTTCTGATCATGAACATGGGTGTATCTTTTAGATCCATTCATTATCTTCAAGAAAAGTATATATAATGATAATTCAGTTAATCAGACCTAAGTGATATTGAAGGGGCAATGGACCAATCAACATACTTTTTCAAAAATGTTAACCTAATTTTCACCAAAAATGCAACCTATTATTATATTGTTGAGTGCATAATTAGAATGTGCTTTGAGACATGTTCGATTTCCTAAAAGGAAAATTTGATTGCTCCAGGGACTTAAAAGATATTCAATTTGGATGACCAAAATGAACTGAAACCAATGGATAGCATGAGATTTTTCAATGGAGAAATAACATGGGGAACACTTATCTTAATGCAATTAAGTTTTTCTTTCAAGAACTATTTGATATATCAAAATAAAGAATAGCAATGCATTAAACATTGTAAAAAGTGATTGCATTTTTGGTGAAAATGGGGTCAACATCTTCAAAATGGGGTCAAAAAGTGTGTTGATGGGTTAATTGCTAGTTAAATATCTCCGAGTTTGTTTGAATTTATTATTACTGTGCATAATTTTTTTTAAGATAATGAATTGATCTAAAAGATAAACTTGTCTTCATTGTCAGAAAATAGTCATAATCCAAGATATAACCTTCTGAAATTGTTTGCGATAACCCACGTGCTCCTTTCTGCGCACTGCGAATTGTCTGGGATACTGATTTTAATCATGGGATAAACCCAATATCAGATCATTTCTCGTGATATTTTAATGAATATTTTACACCACATTTCCTACTTCTGAAGTCCTATTAATAGTTTTAAAACCAATATGAGATGAATGTGTGCTTTTAAAATCTATAAAATAACCTATAATAATTTTTTTACTTCAAATTATTGTTTACTTAGAAAACTGGTGTTTGTCTATTCGCTTAGTATGTTTCAATTGATATTTTTGATTGTTTTTCTGTGTTCACCTAACCATTAATGCTACTTTTACAAATGCTTGTCTGTTTGATTGTTTGATAAACAAGCCCGGTGATCGCGCGTGAAAATGGGACGGAGTGGGGAGGGGACGCAATTTATGCTGGGAAGTTCAAAAAATCTGTAAGATTTATTTGAATTCCTGAATAAATAGGCACACGGCATGGAAAAATCTGTTAGGTCTTCTACGATTTTTTTTAACCAATATGCTTCTAAGATATGAGATCTATTAAAAATGCGCAAGGCCACTAACGAGCACAAATCAACGTTTTTGCTATAATTCAAGCATACGACCTTTGACAAATACTGGTAAGCGACGTTATCAAAATTAAATTTTCTAGCAGAAATTGCCCCCTTCCTCCCATTTTCACGATCACCGGGCGTGATATATCTGTTTACCTGTATTTGTATAGCTGGAAATGGTGATGTTATCCATCAAACCACCCGCTGCATATACTGGCCCAGTTGTATCCTGAGGTAGAAGGGATGATGAATGTATCTTAATAATGACATTAAACGAACCAATAATATTGTTTACCGCCCAAAATCCATTTATTTGATAGTACAGATAATATTTGCCTGATTCGTGAATATATACTGGTCTCGAATTGTGATAGTCTCCGTGTATCGTGTAAACTCCTAAGCTTTGAATTTGTAGAGTTGACGGTGTGACCACACCCCCCATGTATAAAGTTTCGCTAGGGACGGTGTTATCTGAAATGTAATGACACAATTACTATATTTAAACTCGTGTGCCATAAAGGAAGACAAAAAGGTTAGAAAGAGAAACAATGTATAATTGGCTTGATTAAAATGCCTAGGTTAGAACTTAGTTGGATTGATACTGAAGGGGCAATTAAGAGAAATCCTCCAAACACAGGAATTTATAATTGTTTCTTCCGAGGAAATTGCGATATAGTTGATGCAATAAGGATCATGATCTGACCAATCAGATTTCAGATATAGAATAAGTATCTCTTAACTGATTAAATCCTCGCAGGAGAAGTAGATCAGAAACTACATACTTGTAATACATGCTGCTTCCAATTTAGTGTCATCCACCCAGCCAGCTTGTGAGTATGCTTGCCATGTACGAGTTATGCCATCAGCCGACAAAGCTATGTCATTAACACGAACTCCTCCAAAAGTGGATTTAATATCGTTAGAGATGAGCCAGACCCTGCTTTGCGGATTCTGGATAACGTAATAAAGGAAGGCAGATTCACCCTCGCGAATATAAACAGGCCTTCCATTGAGAAGAGGACCATAAAGTGAATAGATACCCTGTCTTCTCATTGGAATAGAACCACCATCTAACAGAACCCCACTACAAATTCCTTCTTGGCCTACAAAAAAAGAAATAAATAAATCTTATCAATAAACTGAACAATGACGATTCTGTGTTACTTCCATTGTTTTCTTCCCTATTTTCAAATCCAATAAGAATTTTATTTAACATATTGAAATATATATTCTCAATGGCATTACAGTCATATTACTGTTAGCTGCGCATTGTATATATGGTTGAAACAATCTAGTAAGAATATGCCTACACTTTTTATATCGTTTCTTACAATTTCCTTTAATATACTTACCAAAGTAGCACTCTAGGACTATTGTACCAGATGCCACAGTCCATGTGTTATTTATTTCAACTGGGTTTGTGATGGCTGTTGTAAACGCTGTGGTTAATGTTTCAGACTCTGATATAATGCTCCATTTGTTGCCATCAGACATTCTAATTGTTATTTCACTACTGTTTGTGGCATCTTGTTTCTGGTAGATCGGTGCTCCATTTGAATCATTATTTGAAATACTATAAGCTCCTAATAGGTAGGCGTGTGGTCCATTCCATGAAACACCACTCAACCAAATCGTGTCACATATAGCTGAACATGATGCAATCAGACTTGGCTCAGCTACCCAAGCGCTACCATCCCAAGAATCCCAAACCTCTGTCACGTCTTGTGGTTGCAGAGCTGAACTGATTACACGAATTCCTGATTGAGTCTCTCCTATCGTTGGTCCAATAAGCCAGGCTCCATCTTCATAGAACAAAAACTCTGGATCCCATAGGTGTTTGTAAACTGGTCGTTCGTTCCAAAAATTCGATTGCAGCTTGAAGATCCCAGTTCGATATAGTTGATTGGAGGACCGTGACAAACCAGACAATTTGAGACTTTCACATGGGACACTGCCAGCAGTTGTTGTAGTAGTTGGTCCAGTTGTTGTACCTTGTCCAGTTGTTGTACTTGGTCCAGTTGTTGTACCTTGTCCAGTTGTTGTACCTGGTCCAGTTGTTGTACCTTGTCCAGTTGTTGTACCTTGTCCAGTTGTTGTACCTGGTCCAGTTGTTGTACCTTGTCCAGTTGTTGTACCTTGTCCAGTTGTTGTACTTGGTCCACTTGTACTTTGTCCAGTTGTTGTACTTGGTCCAGTTGTTGTACCTTGTCCAGTTGTTGTACCTTGTCCATTTGTTGTACCTGGTCCAGTTGTTGTACCTTGTCCAGTTGTTGTACCTTGTCCAGTTGTTGTACTTGGTCCAGTTGTTGTACCTTGTCCAGTTGTTGTACCTGATCCAGTTGTTGTACCTTTTCCAGTTGTTGTACTTGGTCCAGTTGTTGTACCTTGTCCAGTTGTTGTACCTGGTCCAGTTGTTGTACCTTGTCCAGTTGTTGTACTTGGTCCAGTTGTTGTACCTTGTCCAGTTGTTGTACTTGATCCAGTTGTTGTACCTTGTCCAGTTGTTGTACCTGGTCCAGTTGTTGTACCTTGTCCAGTTGTTGTACTTGGTCCAGTTGTTGTACCTTGTCCAGTTGTTGTACCTTGTCCAGTTGTTGTACCTGGTCCAGTTGTTGTACCTTGTCCAGTTGTTGTAGTTGGTCCACTTGTTGTACCTTGTCCAGTTGTTGTACTTGGTCCACTTGTTGTACCTTGTCCAGTTGTTGTACTTGGTCCACTTGTTGTACCTTGTCCAGTTGTTGTACTTGGTCCAGTTGTTGTACTTTGTCCAGTAGTTGTACCTGGTCCAGTTGTTGTACTTGGTCCAGTTGTTGTACCTTGTCCAGTTGTTGTACTTGGTCCAGTTGTTGTACCTGGTCCAGTTGTTGTGTCTGATGCAGTTATTGTACTTGGTTCAGCTTCTTTGAAATGCACACAAAACTCGCCCCTACAACCTTTGGCTGCCCACATGGTCCCTGTTCTATAATCGAAGCTCCAGTTGTCGTTCATCGTACATCGTGTCCTGAAATATACAGGTTGTCCAAAAAATAAACCTATGGTATTAGTTTGTGCAGATATAGTTTTAAACTTTAAGCTCAATTTGTATTTTACTGTAACATACAGGTTATCTTAAGGGTAAATTAATATGCTCTGATATCAAGAGATTCATCCTATTGTGAGATGAAATTACTATTGAGATATTGTCTCAAAATTATAAGGTTATTACTTATGGTTGTTGGTAACGGGAGTCTGGAATAAGTTGAGCAACGAAAAATCGTGTTTTATAACTCTCATGCTGCGTTTACGAAAGGATATCACATTTTACAAGAAGTAAGAAAATATTAAACGGGGTGGCCATGGAGGTGTGATGTAATCATGAAAACGAAAATCAGAAAACTAAACTTTTTATGACTTTCTGTTATCTCCATTACTATTGTAATTTAAAGATATGAAAATAAAGAAACAAGATAAAAGTGCCCCTACCTTGATATCTGGGTCTTGAGTGTTACGTCTTGCAAAGACATCGATGTCAAGAATGGCTTGTCGTCGAACACAGGACATGTGACATTCCTCCATCTTTTACTTGCACATGGAAAGCAGTACGTTCCTAGTGATGAAATAACAAAATCAATAAGGAAGTTTGAAGTCTCCTCTTGCATAAACGAAAACATTTTAGTCACTCATCGCCAATTTCAATACTGTTTTTGGTCAGCCCTCGGTTTATTTGAAAAATGAATATATGATCAGGCTCTGTTAATAGATTTTCATTGATATAGAAATTAAACTCTTTTCACAACACATTAAAATATCTGAAATCCTTCAACATTATTCAATTCCAACGCTTGTAATTTGAACTTGAATGTAACTAGTGCAGCATGACACAAAAAGGCCACCCACATAATGTTGCATAACCTTTTTGTCTGCATGGATTGTTGAGTTGAACTTCAGAATATTGAAATTATTTCAGTTTCGGAGCTACTAGCTCAACTAGATGCACCTGTATGAGAGTTATAAGATGTGTCCTCTATTCTCCTGCAGGCACACTAGATTCTACACAAAAATGCCTCCAAGCTTTCGCAACATGGTTTTGAAAACAAGTTATTGTTGCTGTTTTTTATTTTGCATTGCATTTTGTTTACAATCAATGCAGGTGATCAATACCTCTTTGGTATATCCCATGTTTGGGCAAAATATAGGTAGTTGTTTGTAGAATGAATCGGGTTTTTTTTCATGAATTTCGCTTATGTTTTTCATCCAAAAAACATCAATACACTTTAAAACATTTTGTTTACTTTAAGATTACACCCTGTAATCCAAAAATATATTTCTCGTTTTCAAAGATAATCCATGGATTAACACCCAGGTATTTTTATTTTTCAAACTTCAGAGGGCTGGGAATCATTGATGCTCGACGCTTTTGAATACGATAAATGCTGTTTTAAGTAGGTTTTACAATAATTTCTCAAATTATGTAAGCTGAATGCATTCCATAATCCCTAGAATATTCTCTTGGAGGAATCCAATGGTAGTTCCAAGCAGATTTTTAGATGGCAGGTAAGTAAATTCTTTAGTACTCGCCTTGTTGGGTTGAGTTAGTTTATATTCAAAAATTATATATGATTCTGTAAAGATGTCAGTGTGGATGCTATATAGATTGCACACGTATGGTAAGCTGTATAATCCTATATTATGTAACACAAGTACAGTTTTGGTTGACATGATTGTGATGAATAAATTATTAATTAAATTATAAATTGGGCAATATTTTTGACATTTTAAGTTGATATAAAGAATTATGGTAACATACACCATGGACCATGCATACACATACAATTACAAATGTGAAAATATTGTCCCTTTCATTGATTATCGGTATTTAAAATCATGAAAATTAGTGAAAATATCGAGACATATCTACCTTAAATCAGATTGGCTTACAAGTACCCTAAGCTTTTTTCATTACACTATACATATCTACCTTAAAATCAGATTGGCTTACAAGTACCCTAAGCTATTTTCATTACACTATAATATAGCAACAAATTATGATCTGTTCATGTACGTAAACAGTGTGGTAATACCAGATTTGAGATTTTATATCTCATATGTAAAAACTTGAAATCATGACACATTTTCCAAAGACAAATTAACTAACACAATATTAGATGGTGATATTGATCATATATATAGGGTGAGCCCATAAAGCGTTACCCAAACAAATGTTAATAACTCAGTCATCCAACATGGGTTTAAGTCATATGTGGCACAATTAAACCTTGTTCAATGTTCTTTCATTCTACTAGGTTACATTGGTCTATTACAAATGGTCACAATTCTACAAAACATGCTGCAAATACCGAAACATACCAAACTCACATAATATGAACCCTCAAACTTTGGGGCTATTTAAAAGAAAATATCCATTCTCACAAGTCTAGAATCATCAGAGAGTTCATACAAGAGATTCGAAGGAAGATCCGACTCATTACACATGATATCTGTGAGGTTGTAGTTGGAATCTTCTTTCTTTGATTAAACACAAGAGAGTGCTATGCTACGATGTTCCTGCTTGCCTTTTAACTCACTCGGTCAGTTTGTCATGTTGGTACCAACCTTTACATTCTTCGATGGTTTGAACACCACTATAGCCAGAGCGGTCAACCTTTAAGCGCTACCTGCTGTACGCACTACTCTGCCCTTGTTGGTAAAGGGATGGTGAACAAACCCTCGGTGAATGTATTAGCAATTGTCAAATAAGTCATTGGTTAATGTTGTCTCCCCTGTGCCCATTTGTCATTTCTCCTCAGCCAGAGCCAGCGGGAGGCTTCCTCTGCTGCAGATCCAACTGCTCTGTTCGCTCTCTTGAGCCATGAGGGTGGGAGTCCTACATTCTTGAACATTCGGTTGAGAGATGTTGATGGAAATCCTCTACAACCTACTTCAACGGGATAGTAATGAACTTTCCACCCTTTGGCCTCTACCTCCTCAACCAGATATTGGTACTTTGCGCTTTTGAGTTGGTGTGCTACCTCAATTCGATCTTCCCAAGGTACTGTCAGTTCTATCATGACAGCAATTCTTTTATCCTCTGAGAATAAAAGCATATCTGGTCTTTGGTTTGTTGTCGTGATACTGCTGGGAAATGTGAGTCTTTGGTGTAGATCTACTCTCAGCTCCCAGTCCTGTGCTTGTTGTAATAATTTCACCCAATGTATTAAAGTTTGGCTCCAGAGACAAAACTGGCATTTTGAGAATGTTTTGTAAAATGGACAGGAGATCCCGACCATTTGTAATAGACCAATGGAACTAGGTAGAATAAAGGGAAATTGATTAAGGTTTAATTGTGCTAAATATGACCTTAGTTTCAAGCTGTATGATCAAGTTATTAACATTTGTTTGGATAACCTTTTTTGGCTCACCCTGTTTGTGTCATAGGTTTTTGCGAAAACATTAATTATTGAGATATTTTGTTGATATTCCGGTAGCAAATGCCATTTTGAGAAAATATGATTTCAAGTCTTGTCTGGAATATGTTTCATGGGATTTTTCCCCCTTGGAACTGTCTTATATCACATATTGCATGAAAATGATTTAATGCCATGGCTTAA